AAGGCTAGGGCAGAGAATTGCTTGAAACCAGGAGGCGGAGGTTGCAGTGAGCCAAGATGGCGCCACTACACTGCAGCCTGAGTGACAGAGCTAGACTCTGTCTCAAACACACACACACACACACACACACACACACACGCACACACACACACGCACGCGCGCGCGCGGAGCTGTCCATTTAGGTGGCAATTTGCCCTTAAAGGAGACTCTGAATAAAGAATACGTACCGGTATATGTGAGTAAAGATTGGCATATACTTATGTCTTAGAATACCCAAAGAAACAGAGCAATTAAGACAGAAACAGCTTACCTTCAAGGTTTGATGTCTTATGTACAAATCTGCCTAGAAAAAACTTCAAGACTTCAGATATCAAAATGCACTTCTCCCTGGCCTCTAGTCTGTTAATAGTTTATCAATTTTGTCAATAATAATTCCTTTTTTAAGATGATATAATAGATTCTTCTTTTCAGAAACTTTGGTGATATCCTAAGTCCAGAATCATTCAAAGAGGAAGATTAGCTATTACGGTGATCAATTTAAAGTTTAAGGCTGGGCATGGTGGCTCACTCCTGTAATCCCCGAACTTTGGGAGGCTGAGGTGGGCGAATCACCTGAGGTCAGGAGTTTGAGACCAGCCTGACCAACATGGAGGAAACCCATCTCCACTAAAAAAAAAAATTAGCCAGCTGTGGTGTCAGGCCCTGTAATCCCAGCTACTCGGGAGGCTGAGGCAGGAGAATCACTGGAACCCGTGAGGTGGAGGTTGCGGTGAGTGGAGATCGCATTATTGCACTCCAGTCTGGGCAACAAGAGCAAAACTGCGTCTCAAAAAAAAAAAAAAATTTAGAAGAGCCATTAGTGGTGTGTTGCAAAAACGTTTTTTTTTTTTTTTTTTTTTTTTTTTTGAGACGGAGTTTCGCTCTTGTTACCCAGGCTGGAGTGACAAAAACGTTTTTGAGTGCCAGCTCTATTTTAAGTGTCTTGAGGGTTCTGAGGTTGCAAAAACAAATCATTTTCAGCAATCAAGCACATCCAAAGAATACCTGAAGGGGCCTATTCATTTGGGTGTGTGTGTGCTTTTTTTTTTTTTGAGACGGGGTCTCTCTGTCGCCCAAACTGGAATGATGGGATTACAGGAGACAGCCACCTATTTCTAAAGCTGTTGAATCTGCATCATTTGATCTCAAACGTCCTCAGCTCTGCTACGCTACCTAGACTTAGGAGTCTTAAAGACATCTCAGCATATGAATTAGGAGTGCTGTGAAATTATTGGCACTTCCCATTTGTCTCCTCCTTCACAGTGTAGCTCCTCTGTTTTCTAGCAAGGCTTATTTAAGGCCTGAGTATTACAAGATTCCTTGCGTTCAGTTGTTTTCAGCAGCACCAGGTGAAATTACAAAACATCTACACCCATACGGCAAGGCCCCGCTGGGATTCGAACCCAGGATCTCCTGTTTACTAGACAGGCGCTTTAACCAGCTAAGCCACGGAGCCACAGCTGAGTAAAAACTCAATTGTGTATTATTTGAATACTATTTCACACTTCTATAATTTGCAACAATTCCAGTGAGTCGTTTGTTAGAGAACTTCAAAATAAAAAAAGATATTCAGGTCTCAGTTAAAACAAAAGATCTTTATTTTGAAAGGAGGAATACATGGGCTGGATTGAAACAACTATTTCTCCTTGAAAAATTGTCCCCACATGGGTACCGCTAGACTCACTACAGGCTCTGGTGGCCAGGTAGGGACTTTTGTTGAACCTCAAAGGAAAAATGAATGGACTTTTTATTAAGCATCATTTTGTTTTAACCACACCTGTTCTCTGTTAGTGTGGAGAAGCAGGCGTTATTGGTGGAAGATTAGTTCATGTCGGACACATGGTTGTTGTAGGAAAAGGCTATGAGGATAAGAGGCTCATCTATCAGATCCCACCTTCCTGAGTGGTGGCACTCATTCCCCAACCACAGGAATATTAACTACTGATGGCTCATATCTGGGTCCGACTCATATCTACCTTCAGAGGAAGGGAAGTCCCTTGCTCCAAGTCACACCCCACTACTGGAGCAGCTTAAATCCAATGACTAGTTGATGGAGATATACATAGGACTGCCCTTCCTGCCTCCCACTGCAATTAAGGATATTTGTGAAGGACCATTCCAGATTTATATACACTTGTGAGATGGGATGTGTGTTGCACCTGTATTGAATTCAGCTTCTGGCTTTTCTCAATCCTGCTCACCTCACCCTCTCACAGATGCTGATTTTGAGAGCATTCCCAATAAGCCTCCCACACACAAATCTCCATCTCAGTGTCTGTTTCCTAGGGAACTGACCTGTGGCAAAAATTGGTGACTAATGCCTATGTTGGTCTCTTGAGGCCAAAGTAAGTCTACACGTGGCCCAGTCTTTCAGAGATCATTTACCATAACAAGTGTCCTAGTAGAACAATAATGATAATAATCTGTGCCACAAACTTTCAGCATTTTCACTACAGAACAAAACAAAGAAGGACATATACTAGTTGATTAAAAAGATGTACAGGCTGGGCACGGTGGCTCACAGCCTGTAATCCCAGTACTTTGGGAGGCTGAGGCGGCCAGATCACTTGAGGTTAGGAGTTCAAGACCAGCCTGGCCAACATGGTGAAACCCTGTCTCTACTAAAAATACAAAAATTAGCTGGGCGTGGTGGCATGCCCTTGTGATTCCAGCTACTCAGGAGGCTGAGGCACGAGAATCGCTTGACCAGAGAGGCAGAGGTTACAGTGAGCCGAGATCAAGCCACTGCACTCTAGCCTGGACAACAGAGGGAGTCTCTGTCTCAAAAAAAAAAAAAAAAAAAAAAAGAAGAAGTACAAAGTTAATGAAAGGAGCTAAAAGACAGGAAGAGGTGATTTATTATTTATGATAAACTAATTTTTCATATTCAAAGAGTTGAAATAAATGGCAAATTTGGCTAGTCAAAGGGTACGATTCTCATTTCTAAGGCAAAAAACATAAATATAAAGCATTAAACACGTTATATACTAGTAGTGCATATGCAAGATAAGACTTCACAATTTATAAATATATATATTCATGCATATACCTCTAAATACAGGGGGAGGGCATAAGGTGGGTATTTGAAATGTACATAGGCCGAGTAACTTTTGAAAATATTATTCCCTGGACTAACAGAAACAGCCGTGGTGGGAGGAGGGAAGCTGAATCTTGTCAAGAAAGCAGACAGTCAACCTTGAATCAGCCGCCCCAGGGCCCCTCCCTGGGTGACACCTACCAGCAGGAGATCAGGCTCCGTCTGCCCGCGCCGCACCTCGCAGGCGCAAACGTTTCACGCCTTCTTCCTCTGCGTTTTCCAATCCTCCTCCCGATTCAGATCGTAGGACATCTGCTCCCCCGCAGATACCAGGCCTCACTCCGGAGACGCCCCGGCTCCGCACTCCCTCGTACTGTTTTGGGGGCTGGTTCCGTGCAGGGGCCCTGCGAGGTCGGGCTCCCTGCGTCCTTCCGCCCCAGCGCCCCCAGTCCGCGCTCGGGCGCCACCAGCTGTCCGGGGCGGGAACTGCAGCGGCACGTCGGAGACGAGCGCGGCGCCACAGGCCGGGGACGCGCCGCGGAGACTTCGGAGGCACCACCCCGAGGCTGGGCGGGGAGAGCGGGCAGCTCCCGGGTCCCGAAGGCTTCGAGAGCTGACCTGTCCGGAAGGGTCTCCAATGACAGAGAGGAATCTGCACCCCTCACGCGGGCGCCGCGTCCTTTCGACCACGCGACGGCCCTGGGGTCCGCGGTTCCCGGATCGGCGCGCCAAGATCTCAGGCTTGGAGCAAGTTCGGGTTCGCCCCGGGCGGAAGGAAGGAGGCCCTGACTGTGGACGTGGACTGGAGTCTCCTCGGATCAGAACTGGCAGGTTAAGAGAACTGTTTCCCGGTGAGAAGCAGGTTTCCTCCAGGATCAATGTGGAGCCCGGGTGAAGGAAGAGTGGGGAACAGAGTACATGTAATTATCTATTCAAAGATAAATTTCAATAAAACAAGCCATTTCATAGCAGTTTATAATAGAGAAGGAAGGACTCTTGTCGGCCGGCTAGTTAGCTCAGCTGGTTAGAGCGTTATAACAACAACGTTAAGGTTACGGGATCGATCCCCATGTGGGCCAAGTGTTAGCTGTGGTTTTTATCCCCGCTATGGGCATCTCAATCTGTAAGTGCGTGTTTTTCCATTCTTAACTTCGCGCTGAGAAAACAAGTCTGAATTTGGCGGGCCTTCCCTTACTCTAGAGAAGCTACTTTTGACCGGGAGGCTACTCTTCCCTATCTCCAATGCATACATACCCACATCCCACCCACAAAGCAAAACGGCAACAGGCACCTGGCAGTGGCAGAGGTACCATAGGAGGCTTTTGTGATTCTTGTCCTCCTCTGCCCAGGGAAATTTTCTTGGAGTAAAATTCTGAATTATTTGATTACTTCCTCAAAAAAATAAAAATTAATTTTTTTAAAAAAAACACCCACCGTTTGTATCACTCATGCTGGGTCATTCTGTTTTCTCCATTTCAGTCTAAAAGAAAACAAAATTATAAAATGAGAAAGAAAAATTTTCCAAAACTTCAATAATAAGAAAGACGAAGACTTTTGTTTTATATATTCTAAACGCTTATTCCAATGTCAAAAGGTATGTAAAGGTACATACCTTTAAAAATAGTTTTCTAATTTAAGAGTTTTTTTAAAAAGCAAATAATACTTTAGGCAGGGCACGGTGGCTAACACCTGTAATCCCAGCACTTTGAGAGGCCAAGGCCAGCAGATCACGAGGTCAGGAGTTGAAGACCAGCCTGGTGAAACCCCATCTCTACATTCATTCATTCATTCATTCATTCATTCATTCATTTATTTATATAAATTGGCCGGCTGTGGTGGTGTGCGCCTGTAATCCCAGCTAATCAGGAGGCTAAGGCAGGAGAATCGCTTGAACCGGGCAGGCAGAGGTTGCAGTGAGCCAAGATCGTGCCACTGCACTCCAGTCAGGGTGACACAGGGAGACTCTGTATCTCTCAGTCCAGCCACATTTCTTCGTCAAGTCATATTTCTTCCAGAATGATTCAGGCTCTGTAACTTGTCCCCTAGTATCTGCTGAGGAGGTTGAGAACTTCTACTTAGTGTGCTTATCAGTAAAATTGAAATAACAATATTACTCCGCTCCCATATAATTGCTGTGTTAAATGAGAACTTACAATGTGCCTTGCATGTAGTAAATTTTTTTACAAGTTGGCTCTTGTTATTATTCAGTCTCCACACTTTCCAATTCTGCATCTGGAACAATCTTCAAGACATATTTACTATAGACCAGGCACTATACTGGGCACTAAGAAACAAAGCTATACAGAATAGGCAAGTCTTTATTCTTTTGGAACTTTCGTTTTAGTAGGAGAGACAAACAAAACCATAAAGCAGCCGGGATGGTTTTGGGCGAAACCCTTCTACTTCACATCATCAGGTGTTGGAGTTGCCTAACGAAGCACACAACCCAGATCCCTCGCAGGCACAATTCACAACAGGGTTCCAGCTCCTATGAGAATCCAGTGCCACAGCTGATCTGACTGGGGCAGAGCTCAGGCCATAATGCTCCCCAACCGCTCAACTCCTGCTGTGGGGTTGGGTTCCTAACAGGCCACAGACCCGTCCCAGTCCATGGCCCTGGGGTTGGGGATCCCTGCAATAAAGGATCAGATAATTTTGGATAGTGCTAAATGTATTATAATTATGAGAAAATAAAACAGACTACCGTGATGGAGACGGCTAGATGAGAATCTATTTTAGATGGGGTGTCCAAGAAGGGCTCCCTGAAGAGGTCACTTTCCTGCTGATCGGGGATGTGGAGAGTCAGCCATGATCTTGGAAGAAAGAGCACTGAAGGCTAAAGCACAGCAATTTCAAAGGCCCGCAAACCAGATGAACTTGTACTACTGTAAAACTTGAAGACTGATAACTTTGATTGCATAGACACCTATTTGCGCCGGCGCAGCGGCTCACGCCTGTAATCCAAGCACTTTGGGAGGCCAAGGCGGGTAGATCACGAGATCAAGAGATCGAGACCATCCTGGCCAATATAGTGAAACCCCATCTCTACTAAAAAATACAAAAATTAGCTAGGCATGGTGGTGCATGCCTGTAGTCCCAGCTACTCCGGAGGCGGAGGCAGTAGAATCACTTGAACCTGGGAGGCAGAGGTTGCAGTGAGCCGAGACTGTGCCACTGCACTCCAGCCTGGTGACACAGCGAGACTCTGTCTCACACACACACACAAAAACCATTTTTACATGTCCAAAGCCACCACAAACTTCAAAGACAACTAACTAGACTGCCTGTGATTCATGTCAAAACAAAGTTAATGAAGTCATATTTAACGAGTCCCTACAAATCATAAAAGACCTAATGACTAAGTAGAAAAATTAGCACTGAATACTATGCATATAATGGAAAAGAAAATACAGATGGCTTTTTAACATATAAAAAGGTTCTTAAAGACAATATAACCTGTTAAATGCCAAAAAAAAAAAAAAAAAAAAAAAAAAAAAAAAAAAAAAAAAAACCCCCCGAGGGGGTATTTTTAGGGTTCCAAATGGAAAAAAAAAAAAAAAAAAAAAAAAAAAAAAACAAGATAAACTCAAACTCTGTTAAGAAGGACTCAGCAATGCTCTCCAGAGTATCTGACAGACAGCCCTAGCTAAAAGTTGGGCTTTTCTTGTACAATCATTTGGAAACTATGAGAATCCTGAGGAGTGGCTCTCCCTTTCTGGGAGGTACAGAGAACTAGAGTTTCTTACCTGTGACCTTGGGATCAAATATCCTCACAGGTTCAATTCCTGGTGGAATTGAAAGTCCTGGAACAGACCATGGATGTGAGCTATGGATGTGAGCGGTGTTTCCATCTAATAGGTTGTGGTAGAAAACCATTCACACACTACTGCCTATTGAGGCAATTTCCTTAGATTTGAAGACAAGAAAACAGTAGTGTTTATGCAAAGGGGTAGAAAAACAATGAAGTCACCTTCGAGTACTTTTTAAATGCCGGTATTAAAGGAGTCTGGAGATAAAAACTTCGCCTACCGAGAGTGGGGTTCGAACCCACGCGGGCACTAGCCCATTGGATCTTAAGTCCAACGCCTTAACCACTCGGCCATCCCGGTGACTGGGGCTGTGTCTCAGGCAACCATTTTTTTATAACAACCAAGGCATTTGTGCTGAACATTAAGGAAGCACTGAGTTATTGCTGTTTTTACTGAATTGTATTAAAATATAAGGAAGATATGATAGGCAAACACAGCATGTGTTCAGCAAGCATTTCTCCTGAGTCTCCTCATCTAGTCAAACATTTTTAGATGTTTGTTTTTACTTGATTTGAAAAGAAAAAGCAAGGGAGTGGGGTGAGGGGGTGGAGAGAGGAGGGGGAGTGCCGGAGCGGAAACCGCCCTAACACCACCTTCGACTTCTGCTCCACTAAAGTCACTCTCCCGACTTTTTCTTCAGAGATCCCCATTTTGCCTGCTGAATTCAAAGCTCCAGTCCACACACACTGATGTCATTGGAGGCATCAGGATTGGCGCCCAAGGTTTATTACGTTAAAACAAGTTCATTCTGGGGTAAATGTTAAGATCTTTAGTAGACCCAAAGGCAGTTCAGATTCTTTCATTTTAATGACAAAATGCTTTAAGCTGACAATCCAACCTGTTTACAAAAGGAACACACTGAGCTGTGTGTGGGCTGCACAGAAAAATACACTGCCCCAGAACTCCAACTGCTGCTGGAAAAGTTCACAATTGTTACCACAGAGAATCCAGTCCTTGTGGCTCAAGTATCTCCTGGGAGACTTACTACAAATGTGGATTCTAGAACCCCTCATGCAGTGATCCTGAATAAAGCGATTTGCCATGGGTTCCAAGAATCTTAATCTTACCAAGTCATCCTAACTTCAACAGTCTGCCAAACAGCCCTCACTGAAGGAGGCTAAAGCTGTCATGGGGAATTTAAGAATTCACAAAAGAAACTCGTAGAAAGGAACTTCAGGGTCTGGAGGAGACAGAGCTGAAATGAAATCCTGAAGTAGGGTTGGAATAAAATTAATTTATGTAACAATACTGAACACCTAGTGTGCGGCATGTACCTTTGTTTTTCAGGTAACCAGAGGAAAGCACCACAATATGCAAAGGTTGTGTGGTCTGCAGCAGACAAGCAAAGAGAGTCAGAGATGTCTCCTCAGAATCTCATCAGCTGAGGATAAAGGAGCCCAGGCCTTATTTGGATGCTCAGGACTGCCTGGGTCCACATCAGGTGTTTCTCTGCCTGATGAAGCCATGGAAAAGGAATGGACCCCTGAAGTCCTTTGGCTGTCAGGCTCTGGGTTCTGTCTCTGGCCAGATTAAGGTTCCATTCTTGGCAGAGGATACGTGGACTGAGTGATTCGCACTTCTACCAAACACTGGAGGAAACTCAGGTCTCTCAGTGCTGGGGCAAGAACTGACTTGAGGATGGAGATGGAGGTGAAAAGCATATCAGAGAAAGAATCCATCCTGTATAGGTAGACACAAAAATGTTTAGAATATTCTATTATTGTTAGTTCTTAGCACAAACTACACAGTAGAAGCAATCACCTGTGAAGTTTTTGAAAACACAATAATCTAGAGGGTTTAAACATCTACATGTGAAAGTGAAAAAGTTTTGCTCTTGTTGCCGAGGGTCGAGTGCACTGAGTGGCGCCATCTTGGCTTACTGCACCCTCCACCTTCCAGGTTCAAGTGATTCTGTTGCCTCCGGAGTAGCTGGGACTACAGGAGTGTGACACCACGCCCAGCCAATTTGTGTGTGTGTGTGTGTGTGTGTGTGTGTGTGTGTGTGTGTGTGTGTGTTTAGTAGAGACTAGGTTTCTTCAGGTTGGCCAGGCTGGTCTCAAACTCCTGGACCCAAGTGATCCTCCCGCCTCGGCCTCCCAAAGCGCCAGGATTACAGGGATGAGCCACCGCTCCAGGCCTGGCAAGTTTTTTTTTTTTTTAAGACCCAGATAGTAAATATTTTAGGCTTTGCAGGCTGTTCAGTTGATGTCACAATTACACAAATCGGCTATTACAGGAAAGCAACCACAAAGTATGCTAAATGAATGAATGTGGTTGTGTTCCAATAAAACTTCATAAAAACAGGAACAAGACCAGATGTGGCCTGTGGGCTATGGTTTGTGAACCCCTGGCCTAAAGGAATAAACTTCAATAACTTTCGTAACATCATATTTTTGAAGAAAATTATGGTATTTGAACATTGATAGCTTGGACTAAAAGAAATAAAGAACAGCATAAAATAAAAAGACTCTGGACCTCACCCCTCTTCCCCCCAGACTGCTGTGGGAAGGAAGTAGGCTAAGCAAACCACTCAGCTGCAAAGTGAAATTTCTTAATAAAAGAACAGATGAATCCGAGTGTAGAATACGAACACAGGAGATGGAGCCAAGAGCCTGGGGAGCCATTCCCAGACAGCAGTACTGAGTTCTAATCAACACATGAGCATCCTGTGCCCACTGAATTCTGCAGCTGCTGCACACCAGGGTGTCTCTCGCTGTTTTCTTCCCCCTCTTACTTTCACTCTTTCTGAGTGGGAGTGTGTATCGAGGTTATCCTCTGCCTCCTCTGCCTGTATGTTGGGAGACAGGTAACTTGTAGCTTAAGTACATACATGCTCAAGTCAAGTAGAACCTTATTTGAAAATTTCGACCCAAGGAATTTCATCTGCACCTTTGCCTGATTTAGATAATGCCATCCTAGAGGTGGAGCTCATGTTGCAAAGCAGTCCGCCTTGGCCAGGGTGAGTATATTTTGCATGCTGGACAGGCAGAATCACTGGGGGCCAAGTTAGGGAAAAATGTGGAGAGAGCGTTTTCCCTGATACCACTCACCCACTGGATGAACAAATGAAATGAGAGTTCATCAGAAGGCAAACTCACTGCTAGGCATAAGAGACGTTAATTGTTCTCGAAACCAAGCAAGTTCTCTACCTGGCCGCCAGGGCTTATAGTCTGGAGGTGTCGTTGACATTTAGAGCAGTTTCCTAAAGGAAAACAGTCTTCCTAATTCAGGACCTATCTTATTCTACAGCAAGAGCATTATTCTCTGGTTTTGACTGAGACCCAGAAATATCTTCTTGTGTTACTGCAGAGAAAATCACTGAAGTAGAAACACTGACAGGTTGAGGTGTAAAGTTTTATAAAATAATAAATTACCCCCCCATAAAACATGTGGGGCTTCGTGGCTTAGCTGGTTAAAGCGCCTGTCTAGTAAACAGGAGATCCTGGGTTCAACTCCCAGCGAGGCCTCTTTATTTCTTCCCCTAAACTTAAGTAATTTGTTGTCACTAATTAAACCTTACTTGGATTTATACCTAATAAAGCTGCAGACCTTGACTTTCGATGTCAGAGGCACTTTGTAGAAAAACATGGAGATGGGTTAGAAATATTTATGACGAATTAGCTAAATCTATGCCAGAGACCATCTAGAATTGAGACCATCTGCAATTTTCTACGTTTAAATTTTTTTAGCTACTTTTCATATTCCTAAGGAACTTACAGCTTCACTTAACGTTTTTGCTTTTAATGCAGTTCAAAAAGAAGGCAAGGATGGAGGTAAGACATACATATTGTATAAATTAGTGCTGTGATAACGCTCCTTTCGTGATTCTGAACTCTAGAATTTCACTGAATATATTGTAAAGTGGAATAGCATAACAACATCTTGAGAGGATAAGAAGCACGATCAGTGAAACACTGAAACAAAACAAAAACAAAGACAAAAAAAACCTAATGAGAGACTGGCAGCAAATGAGACCTGAAGTTGTGGATCATTTATTAGACAAACATAAGGACAGGTGTGATGGCTCATGCCCGTAATCCAAGCATTTTGGGAGGCCAAGGCGGGCAGATCACAAGGTCAGGAGTTCAAGACCAGCCTGTCCAGTATGGTAAACCCCTGTCTCTACTATAAATACAAAAAAATATTTAGCCAGGCTTGGTGGGGGGCACCTGTAGTCCCAGCTACTCAGGAGGCTGAGACAGGAGAATTGCTTGAATGCAGGAAGTGGAGGTTGCAGTGAGCCAAGATAGTGCCACTCCACCCCAGCCTGGGCAACAGAGCAAGACTCTGCCTCAAAAATAATAAATAAATAATAAAAGGATGGAAAAAAATTCATCAAACTCTGGAATACAGTGTTCTGTTTTAGCTGCTCTTTAAAGAAAAAAAAATTCTCGGTTATATCTTCAAAGTATCACCTCCTACAAATTTCAGCCCTAGTGTTGTGTGTAACAGTCCTCATTGCAGTATTGTGCTCAGCTTTTTGCTTTTGATGATTACTCCTTTTGTGAGCATGCAGGAGAAAAACCAGTTTCATAATTTATGAGTGCAGTTTAAAATAGAAATGTTCCTTGTTTAAGAAAATTAAGAATTTCAAACCAGCAACAACAGAGCATTAAATCAAGCGCCTGGCCTTGTGCAAATGCGTAGGCCGCATGCCCATGAAGATGGTTCTGATTGAGAAGATGGTCCTGATTGGGAATGCAGTTATTTGTCAAAAGACTGGATTTTAGAGACGCCTTAAAATGAAGTGAAATCTAAAGTGATAGTCAATGATACCAAGTACAGCTAGAAGGCTTGAGCACTGAAAAGCACTAAACAGGGACCCAGCATGGTGGCTCACGCGTGTAATCCCAGCACTTTGGGAGACTGAGGCTGGCGGGTCACAAGGTCAGGAGGTGGACACCAGCCTGGACAGGATGGTGAAACTGCATCTCTACTAAAAATACAAAAATTAGCTGGGCGTAGTAGCGGGCGCCTGTAGTCCCAGCTACTCTGGAGGCTGAGGAAGGAGAATCACTTGAACCGGAGATGCGGAGTTTGCTGTGAGCCGAGGTCGCACCAAGGCACTCCAACCTGGGCGACAGAGCAAGACTCTGTCTCAAAAAAAAAAAAAAAGAGTACTAAACAGGGAAATGTTACAGTATTAAAATAATTCTTAAAGTCACAATTTTGTGAATCTTCTCTAACAAAGTAACATTTCTTACACAATTAAAGTCACTCTTTTCTCAGGGAAATTGTCCTCCTTCCGAGTCCCATCAGATGGCACCAGTCCGGGATCTTTCAACATAAATATATAAGCTCCTTCTTCCTTTAGCCTCCTGTTGTCCTGGGGTTCCCACCTCTCAAAATCTGGTATAGGAAGAGAGCAAGTCGTATTCCGTAGCACTCAATTACAAAGTGTAAACAACTTATAGGCGTATAGTAATTGATGCGAATGGACGGGGTCCTAAGAGCAGTTGCTATAAATTTTAGGAAGACAAAACCAACTACCTAGTAGTGTTTCCGCCCGGTTTCGAACCGGGGACCTTTCGCGTGTGAGGCGAACGTGATAACCACTACACTACGGAAACCCCTACGGGAATGGACTGCTATCGTGCTGGACCTCATCAGCAATTCTCCGCTGCTCACCCCTCCTTCCCAGAAATGCGTTTTCTCGCTGCTGCAGCATGCTCACCGTCAGTGTCTGCAGTCGCGTTTGCAAACCGCTACAAAACAAGAGCGCGCCTGCGTTAGGAAGTATCCAACACCCAGAAATTGCTGAGTATTTGAGTTCTGTGAGCCTTATGCAGAAACTATAACCTCAGTAAGACAAATCTCAAACATCTTGGCGCTGACCAGACTTGTCTACTGGAATTTGTCCTTCTGCTTCCCTCAGAATTCCTTCTCACTCTCTCACCCAGCGTCAACATCATTGCAAAATCCTACCGAGCTTAACTCAGACTCTATGAAATGTCCTTGTCCTCTGTTGTTGCT